CACACACACACACATATATGCCCCTGATACCCTGATATATATATATATATATATATGTATGTCAGTGTCTGACGACATGGCATCTAATTCCAGGAGAATAAAAAAAAGAAAATCACTCTGGCTTTCATGTTGCCTCAGTAAACTGGTAAACAGTTGAAAACCTTACCTATTCCTGAGGCTGGTGTGAAGGAGTGGATCCCATTAACAGCAGCAAAATCCAGGGACTGAAAATATCTGAAAGAAGACTGTCTTGTCTCCCAGATGAAAATATCAATTGAATTCTTATTTCCTACAATAATGGAATAAATGTCAAATCTTACCTCAAAGGTTACAGAAAAAAGTGTCAAAATTGCACAGTGAAACAATGACATAACTTAAAGTGTAACAAATCCCTTCAGAATCCATTTAATTTAATGAAAATATAATTTAGTAGGAAACACTTTCAAAGAGTTTTTGCATTTATATATGAAGTGTATACATGGTTAGCCATTTCCATGAAAAAAAAAGTCTTATTTTTTCAGAAATACTGGAATTTTATCTGTGCAACACACTAAAAAGGAGAAAACTTTTTTTTAATTTTTTATTTTATTTTTTTAGAGAGGTTTTTGCTATAGGGCGCATGCACTCGCCAGAAAGACAGTGAGACAGAGAGATAGAAAGCGAGAAATCACCCCCCACCTCCAGAGGGGATGACCACATCGCAATCCCTTCTCCTCCATTTTCCTCTTGGAATCTTGGGCACACATGCACATGCACCCGTTGTGAGTTTAAGCCACCGGGTCCGGAACTCGAACCACAGTCAGCTACATGGGAGTTCAGCAACATAGCCATTACACTAACTGCTGGTCCCAGGAGAAAACTTCTTATTCAGAGAACATTTTGACATAGTAATACCAAAAGTTCTAAAGCTACAATTTACTAATAGTACAAATTATCCATGGTATACAAAGTACCTTTCCATAAAGTTACTTGTTTACATTTGGGTACATAATCTTCATAATCTACCTTCCCTATCCATCCCCAATTTTATTTGAATATAACTTTAAAGTAGTAATTAAAGATATTATAAAACTATGGGCAGAATGTTTAATTTATTCTAAAATCCATTTATTGCTGACAGCTAATTCTTATCCATTAAGAAACAGTCTTTGGATAAAGTAAAATAATGACAAGAGCATTTTCATAAAAAATACAGCAATATACCAATGAATGACAGAAGACTTTCACAACTCCATATGTATTGCAAACACTGTATGTTCTCACCTAGAAAAATATTTTTGGCAAAAATTAAGTAAATATCATCGCCTGAAGTCAAAGCCTCAACTTGTGTAGTCCCACTGACCAAAACGTCTTGAAAGTTCACAAACTCATTGCCAGACCATCTGAATAAACGGGAATTCAGCCTGGTGTTAGCCTGGGAAATGGCTAAGAACACGAAGCCTCCTCTGTTGAACAGTGCCATGGTCAGCACACCTCGGACAGGGAGTTTTTGATGAGACACGAAGCTTGTTCCATTCCACCTGAAGACCTGCAAGAAGTGTCCAAATGCAAAAGGCTTTACAACCAGGAATTCAGCCCTCAGGAGAACTTAACCAACAGCACAAATTTACACTCGGATCCTTTGATCTAGTTAGGAGGACACTTTTCTTTTCTTTAAGGTTTTTGTCATAGGGCACATGCACTCCGTGGAGACAGCCAGGGGCAGTGAGAGGGAAAGTGAGAAATCACCCCCCTAGAGCAGATGGCCATGCTGTAATCCCTTCTCTATTCTCCTCCTAAGATTTTGGGCATGTATATGCACACCATGGTTTTCAAGTTGTCAGTCCAGGACAAAAACCATGGTCGGCCCCGTGGGAGTCCAGCTCTTTAACCACATACCGCTCGATGGCCCCAGGAAAATACTTCCATAAAGGAGAAAATATCAACATGGATGCGCTCTCTCTCCTGTTTCTCTCACTTTAGTGTGTGTGTGTGTGTGTGTGTGTGTGTATACATCAATAGAAGTAAACACATAGGCATGCACACACAGAATGAATGCAAAAGTTATCTGGAAAGAAATCCTAACAATTGTACGTCTGGACTGGGGTTGGTAACAGCAGGGGAAGGAGAAAGACAAAAACGAGAGAATTTAAATATGAAAAATTTAGAATTGGATAAGAAATTTTCAGCACTACCTACGGCTCAAGCAATAGCATATGCTCTTTCGGCCCCATCTCAATGTACGCAAGCATTCAAGGTAAGTGTCCATATATTTAGAATTGAAAGAAAATTCAAAATCCACCTGATTTCTCATACAAGCTGGTCAAATTCACAAAGAATTAAATTTATCAGTTGACAATTTGAGCCAGATATCATGCTAAGAGCTACAGATAACGTGGTCTCTCCCTTTATGGGCCTTCTTACTTATCAGGAAAAGGCAAACAGTACACAGGTCACCAACTGAATAAATGTTCGATTATAAAATGAGATGCATGCTGAAGATGACAATTAGGATGGTGTGATGGGGATTTGGGGATGTATTAGGTAAGCCGAGCTGGAAGAAATGACATGAAAAAGTTTGTAAGACAGAGAAAGTTTTCCATGTTCTAAAAAAGACTGGCCATGGTCAGCAGGTGACGTGGCAGTTAAGGCACTGGATCCCACCTGGTCAACTGCACTGTTTGAAGCCCACACCTGATAGCTTGAAAAATCTGGTGGGTTCATGCACATACATGCCCAAAATCCTGAGAGGAGAATGGAGAAGAAGGTATTGCTGCATGCCCATTCCCCCGAGAGGTGATTTCTCACTTTCCCTCTTTCTCTGTCTCTCTCCAGTGAGCAGATTCAACAGCAAAAATCTAAAACAAAGACTGGCTCCACTTGGAGGAAGTCAGTAATGCTAGATGGTGAGAGTCAAGATGGAAGAGGTCAGACCACGAAGGACATCCATTACGGTGACGGTGTAATTTACCATCTCAATGGGCCCCTTTAGAGGGTAAAAAGGCCAACATTAATAATTACACCAGGAAAACAGGCTTAATCCAGTACTGTCATAGGCAAATTAAGAAATATGGTTATGCCATGGACAATTCGTATTAAAGAATGTAGTGCTTATTCTGACTTGAAAATCACTGAACAGTACTAAAATGAGGAATACTGTACATCAGTATTTGGAGATTTCTCCAGTAATTTAATGGAGAATGGATCTGAGGCAGCCAGAGAGGTCTGAAGATCAGCTCGGAGGTGACTATGGGAGAGTGAGAAATGACAGAGACCTTGACTGAGGAAGGAGGAATAGAAAGAGTCTGTACCCCAAATATTGCTGGGACTTAGAATCAAAAACACTTAATGACAGAGTTGATGTGAAAGAGCAAAAAGTTGTAATCAAGCCAAGTAGATCTCAAGATCCTCTCAAGCAATCACATTTATAGAGTTGCTATTTACTAGGGTGAAAGCAAACACTGAAGAACAAAACCTACAGAGAAAATGAAAAGTTTAGTTTGGGTTCTGTTAACTATTACATATTTAAAGTATACTTACGTGACCCTGCCAAGAGGCAATGGCTGTATCTTCTGAGATACAGAGGAAAGGTTACAGATACAATTTAGAAGACATTCACCCACACCTGATATTTAAAGCCATAAAATTGATAAAAATACTCAGTGAGTGAAAAAAAAAAAAAAATCCCAGAAAACATCAAGATACATGAATTCAGAAAAGGTACGTAAAACTGGCAATGAAGACCCAGAAGGATGACACAAAGAAAGAGAAAGAGATAAGGAAAATCCGTGTAGTATCTTAACACCCAAGAAAAGAGACGGTTTCAATTGGCACAGGAGATGACCTTCACAAGCCGACTGCAGGATTGCAATAGGGGAACATCCACTGGGCATCGGCAGAAGTAATGTCTGCGTCGCTGGACTCCCACGTATTCTGCCATGGTTCAAGTCCCAGACTGGAGGCTTGACACCCATGCCTGGTGTGTGTGCACATGTGCTCAAAATCCCAGAAGGAGGAAGGAGAAAGGATTGCAGTGTGGCATCTCCCCTGGGGGGAGATTTCTTGATTTCTGTCTCTCTGTCTCCTCTCTGACAAGTGCACACGCTTTACGGCAAAAATCTCAAAAAGAAGAAAAACATCCACTGAATTCGGTAACCCAGTTATTGGTGAGCACGAGGAGGACAAAGCAAGTACATAGATAATCCTCTCTGTGTGTGCTACTAAAGAGGGAAAAAACAAACTGCAAGAGGAAGTGATCAGGGCAAGAATTCCTTTTCAAGGTAATCCTAGAACATCTGCGCTGTTTATGATCTTTTTTTTTCTTCCTTTCTAATTAATTTTTTTAAAATTTTAATTTTTTTTTTTTTTTTTTTTTTTTTTTTTTTTTTTTGCCATAGGGTTCACCAGAGACAAAGAAAGTGAGAAGAGTCACCCTCAGTGGGGATGGCTCCATCACAATCCCTTCTCCTCCATTCTTCTTGGGATCTTGGGCATACACACACAAGCACCCGGCATGATTTCAGGCGATCAGGTCTGGGACTCGAACCACAGTCGAACATATGGACAGTCCTGGACCTTAACCTCTACGCTACCTACTGACCACTGCTGTTTGTGATAATCTGATAGAGAAACATTTATGCTGTTTACAATAGTCTGGTAGAGCTGGAGGGAGTAACTTAGCCTTCTGAAGGCAAGATGGGAACCTACATGAGAGACCTGGCTTTCTCAGAAGAGATACTTCCTCCATCATGACAGGAGGAAGGGAGAAGTGGGTTTTTAAATTCTGTACTGGGAAGATGACTTCTGGAGCTTTCATTTCACCAAGATTACTAGGGAAAAATATGGAGACGAGAAGTTTGTATAGAAGTCTGTGGAGTGACAACATTATCAAGTGAGCCTTAATGAAATGACAGTATCTAGTTTACTAGAGAAATGTGGGATTTCTGGGGTAATGCTGAGTGTCCATGTGGTGACACTAATCCTAAATTTTTAGTGAACAATTTGTCTGGTTATGTGATGTTTCTCCACAATGTCTTCCAACTTAATTAACTTCTAATTACATGGTCATGTTTATGATATTTGTTCTGGCTATTGGAGACAATTTAATATTCATAACTTTGTTATTTAACACTAAACTGTGTTGGGACCAGCAAATGTAGCTGACTACGGTTCGAGTCCCAGACTTGGCAGCTTAAAACTCACACTAGGCGCATGTGCATGGGTGACCAAGATTCCAAGAGGAGAATGGAGAAGAAGGAACTGCGGCATGGCCAACCCCGTGGAGGATGATTTCTCGCATCCTGTCTTTCTGTCTCTCTATCTCTCCAGTGAGGACACACACCCTATAACAAAAATCTCTCTTAAAAAATATACAAAATAGGGGGACCAGCAGATGGCGTAATGGCTACATTGCTGAACTCCCACGTAGTTGACCATGGTTCAAATCCCCAACCCAGCGGCTTAAACTCACACAAAGTCCGTGGGCATGTGTGCCCAAGATCCCAAAGGTAGAGGATAAGGGACTGCAGCATGGCTATCCCCCTGGGGGGTGATATCTCACTTTCTATCTCTCTGTCTCTCTCTGTCTTTCTGGCGAACACACATGCCCTATAGCAAAAACCTCTCAAAAAAAAAAAAATATATATATATAAAAATTTTAAAAATAAAAAATAAAACTCAACTGTTAATGATCAATATTTATATTATACTTTACTACATGGCAACAATCAAATTATGGTTTTATTTTTTACTAAACCTACATACTGCATCTTTTATGAATTTCAGTTATAGTAATAAAAAAAAAAAAAAAGAAAGAAAAAATTTCATTTTGAAAGAATCAAACCCAGGGTCATTGGAGTGGCATGGTGGTTAAAGGCACTAGACTCCCACATGGCCAACCACGGTGTGAGTCCCAGACCTGGAAGCTTTCTTTCCTACTTTCCCTCTCTCTCTCCATCTCTCCTTGTTCAAATTAAGAAATAATAATAAATAAAATTCAATAATTCTTTTAAAAATATCAAACCTGAGTTAGTTCTGAATCATCCCTTTGACTTGCAACAATTACATAATCTTGACCGTCTGAAGTAAAGTATCTTACTTGAGAACTTTCCAGAATAACAATTGTTTGTACCTGCAAGGTAGACAGAATGAGAATAAAAATTTAAAGGAGATTTTTAACTAAGAAAGGCATGGAATCCAGTAATATTATGAGTCAATATTCGAAGTTCAAAACTTCACACATCACTCTGATTCCTAAGGATACAAATCTAAGTGTCCTTTCAAGAAAGACAAAAATGATCTCTAGATTAAGATACCTTGCTAGATGTGTATCAACTTGCAAAATGTGCTTTTTCATATTAACATAGAATATATACTGGCTTTCATTTTGTGAAATCTTACAAATCTGTCTATTTTAAATAAAGCAATTTATGAAAGAAAAATGAAGATTTTTTTTTTACCAGGACTAATTCGAATCCAGATGTAAATGTATACACACTGTTAACAGAAGGCTTTTCTTCATTTCTGTCTTCATGAGTAATCACAAAGTAGGGGGAATGACCGATATAAAAGGACTCACAAGATTTAGGATTTTCCATTGTTAAATCCTGGCAAAAAAGCAATAAGAGTAGCAGTAACTCATGACAATTCCAAAATCCATCTGTAGTTTTTATTTTTTGTACTGTAAAACAAGTAATGTTTACCTCAACTGGAATAAAAATCCCTTGCCACCGGTAAACAGTAAAAGACGATTTTCTTAACATTATACCAAATATTGAATCTTCCAAAGTAAAAAAACACCAGCCAGAAGCTGATTCATTAAAAAAACTTTGAAATATGGAAAATACAACATCCATTCCCCCTGAAAAACATAAATTATAATTAACTAGTGTATAATCCCTTCCAAACCTTATCTATTCTACTTTAGTGTTTAATAGTGAAACCAGTAAATTTGTCACTAGAAATGAAGATGTTTCCATAGAGTGTGTGTGTGTGTGTGTGTGTGTGTGTAAGCAGTCAACAGCAACAAGCTAGAGAACTTGATATTAAAACTAAAAATAGCAATTTAAAAAAATAAGAAAACTGTGAACACTCTCCTTTGTCCCCACATAGATGTTGGCGAGGTGAATATAAATATTAAGTGCATATTTTAAGGGGAAATTCGTTGATCCTGATTTTTATCAACATTCATAAAGATGATAAAAATATACCTGGGAAATTTTAAAATTATATTCCTATTAGAAACATACTAAATGTTAAGTTTTTAAAACATAAATTATTAATTTGAAATTATGCCCATCCCATGATTTCTCACTCTACCTTTTACATAATTTAAGAATGCTGATGTTGACATTCATACTTCAAATAGTTGCCCAGTTTTCATCAGTCTGCTATACCTGCTATACATTCTAAAATTCTGTACTATCAAAAAAAACTATCTAATGAAGAATAATATTAAGAATAGCTTCTATGATCTATTAAGATGCTGATGCCCAAGAAAGCAAGTTCTTTGCAAATGTTGGTTAATGGTGTGACCATGACACAGCAAGAGCAAATGTCAAGGTTAAAATCTAGGCTTCTGATATGTAGTCAGTCCAGCAGCTGGTGTAAGGGCTATGTCACTGAACTCCCACGTAGTCAACAGCAGTTCAGGTCCTGGACCCCGAGGCTTAAAACTCACAATGGGTGCACATGCACGCATGCCCAAAATCCTGAGAGGAGAATGGAGGAGAAGGGATTGTGGCATGGCCATCCTCCCTGGGGGTGATTTCTTGCTTTCTGTCTCTCTAGCGAGCACATGCCCTATATAGCAAAAATCTCTCTCTCAAAAAAAAAAAAAAAAAAAAAGTCATAAAGTTAATGCCTTATATAAAACCTATTACAGCAATTTTTTTTTTTTTTTTTTGAGAGAGAGATTTTTGCTATATAGGGCATGTGCTCGCTAGAGAGACAGAAAGCAAGAAATCACCCCCAGGGAGGATGGCCATGCCACATCCCCTTCTCCTCCATTCTCCTCTTGAGATTTTGGGCACATACGCACACGTGCCCAGCATGAGTTTTAATGTACCGGGTCCAGGACTCCCACTGCGGTCAACCACATGGCAGTCCAGCAACACAACCATCACACTATCTACTAGTCCCCACCACAGTTTTTTCAGTGAGTCTCGAATGGTCCTGAGATATAGACAGATTCTTCTCTTTCATAATTCAAGAAGAGGGTGAGCAAAGAAAATAAGTAATGACTGCTGACATTTAAGAATCTTGACTTTTGGGAACAGTAGTTAACATAATGGCTGTGTCGTTGGACTCCCATGTAGTCAACTGCAGCTCAAGTCCTGGACTCAGTGGCTTAAACTCACACTGGCGCATGAGTGTGCGTGCCCAAGATCCTGAGAGGAGAATGGAGGAAGAGGGATTGTGGTGTGGTCATCACCCCTAGGAGTGATTTCTCACTTTCTGTCTCTCTGTCTCTCTCTGTCTTTCTGGTGAGCGCATGCGCCCTATAGCAAAAAAACTTTCAAAATAAAATAAATAAATCTCTACTCTCACAAGTGCTTAAGAAACAGTGCAGAGCCCAAATAATGAAGAGAAACCTCTGAATTAGAAAACACAATGTTTCTTTTTTGGATCCCATTTCTTCTTGACTTTTAAGAAACCATACCACTAATAATTATCCCCTTTCTCTTCTAAATATTCCATCTTTCCATTTTCTATCTTTTTTTATTTTTTTGAGAGGTTTTTGCTATAAGGCACATGCACTTGCCAGAAAGACCGAGAGAGACAGACAGACAGCAAGCAAGAACTCACCCCCCCGGGGGGGATGGCCATGCCACAATCCCTTCTCCTCCATTCTCCTCTCAGGATCGTGGGCATGCACACACACCCACCTGGTGTAAGTTTAAGTCACCAGGTCCGGGACTCGAACCATGGTCAACTACATGGGAGTCCAGCAACACAGTCATTACACTAACTGCTGGACCCACTCTTCCTCTAGCTTCTGAGTCTTTTCTATCAGCATTTGTACATGCTCCGAAAAACTGAACAAACGTCTGAAATCTACAGCACACCTCTGTCTTCTCTAGGTCCTCTTTCTCAGCCAAACTTCTTGAAATGACTGCATGTTTTCGAGGTCTCTATTACTTCATCTCCACTCAGTGTTACTCAGTTTCTGTCCCTTTATACAGACAGCTCTTGCTATGGTCATTAATGCTTTCTATATTGCTCATTGTAAAGATTGTTATTTAGGTTCTCATCTTACTGGATTTCTTGCCAGCAGTTGACTAAGTGAATCTTTCTCTCCATTTTTTTTTTTTTAAAGGTTTTTGCCATAGGCATGTGTGCTCACCAGAGAGATAACGACAGACAGTGAGAAGGAAAGTGAGAAATCACCCCTGGGGAGATGGTTATACCACAGTCCCTTCTCCTCCTCCATTCTCTTCTTGGGATTTTGGGCATACATACATACATGCCCAGCATGATTTTCAAGCCACTGGGTCCAGGACTCAAACTCATGGTCAGCTACATGGGAGTCAAACGCCCTAACCACTAGGCCATCTGTTGGTTTCTCTTTCTCCATTTTTAAATTACTCTGGGACGGGGGACAGCAGATGGCATAGTAGTTACATCTGCTAGACTCCCACATGGGTGACCACAGTTCAAGACCCAAACCCGATGGCTTTAAACTCACACCAGGCACGTGTGCATCATACCCAAGATCCAAGGAGGAGAATGAAGCAGAAAGGATTGTGGTGTGGCCATCCCCCCTGGAGGGTGATTTTTCACTTTCTCTCTCACTGTCTCTGTCTCTCTGTCTCTCTCTCTCCAGCAAGCACACATGCCCTAAGAAAATAAAACTCAAAAAAAAATTCTTTAGGGCCAACTGGTAGTGAGGTAGTGAACGTAGCTGGATTCCACGTGGTTGGCCATGTGGTTTGAACTCTAGACCTGGCAGCTTGAAAAACATTCCAGGCCCGTGCACATATATGCCCAAAATCCCAAGAGGGGTACGAAAGAGAAAGGATTGACATGGCCGTCGTCCCTGGGGGAGTGATTTCTCACTTTCTTTTTCTCTCTCTCTCGTTCTTGCTCTCTGTCTCTAACTAGCACACATGCTCTACAGCAAAAACAAACAAACAAAAACAACAAAAAACAAACAAGTAAACAAAAAACACTCTTCAGTTGATGTCTGCAATCTTAAATTCTCCTGAGTTTTTCATCAGGTCTTCTAAGTCTCCTTTACCAGATCATCATTCTGACCCTAGCCACTCAACCTGAGCTTTCTCAGAGTTCATTCCGGGTCAGATTCCCTTCTAACCTCTCTATTCAGGTCATTACATCTATTTCTATGACTTAAAAAAAATATATTCCCATATTTTTCTCTATAAAAGAAAACTTCCTCTGAGTCTAGAGAAATTTCTTCTCAAAAGTAACTCAAACTGGAAATGTACTAAACTGTATTTATTTAACTCCTCACCAAAGTAATACTAAGAACTCTTAGTCCACTGTATGACTCTTCGTCCCAATAACAAGCTAGAAACCTAGGCGTCATCATTCCTGGTACTTCCCTGCCTCTAACCCTCATATCCAACCCACCACTTACTCTAAGCCACCGTCAGTGCTCATCTCTCAGCATTCTACTTCCTTGTCCATCCCAACCTGTTCTTAACACTGCACCTGAATATCTCCAAAGTGCAAAAGTGATCAAACCACACCACGTGTTCACATGGCAACCCACCTTCTTGCCCGAACCCCTCAAAGATTTTCTAGTAACCCGGGAATAAAGGCTGACACCAATACAACAGTCTTCAATTCTTGAATTATCTTGTCTTACCTAGCTACCCAATCTCAGTACTCCTTATTTCAATCCCCACTACCCACTCTTAAGTTCTTCACTGTAAAATTTTAAATTTCCTAATTTCTTATTTACATTTAATTGTTTCACATTTTTGAGAACTATGTTCTTTTATGTCTCAAGATCTCCACATTGACAGCTTCCCACCTCTGTGTTCTTCTAACCCAGTGCTTTGCAAAATCATTCCCTACTCATCAAGCAGTCTTTGTTTAAACATCATTACTCTTCCGAGGCATGCCCTTAATGTTCTTTTAATACCCAGAACTTCTCCTTTAAAACATTTATTATAGTTTAAACTACACACTGATTTTTACGTATTTGATTTATTTCTATCACCACCTACATTCTTAGTACCAAGAACTCAGTATCATGCCAGGAAGACAATAAGCAATCAGTAAATATTTGTGGATACAATAAAATAATGAGATATCTATTCTCCACTTTTAACAGATCTGTAAGATGCAATTCATGGGCAAAATGTAACTCTTATACATGCAATATTTCTTGGTTATAGAATTTTGTTCTCACAAGAAACTGAACATACTCATGCCAAACGCTGTTTCAGACACTGTTTCCCACTGCACACTCACAGCTAAATCGATGCCATTAGTACGAGACACATTTAAATACACAGTCCTGTTGGCTTCTTCGATGTCTACAGATGTGGCTCTAAAAGAAACAAATGGATTATGAAAAGCAGGAAAAAAATAGAATTTCTAAGAATTTAAAATATGTATGACATTGCTGGCACATATTTAATGCAGTTTTAAATTTATATAACCCATAGTGAAACCCAGAAATTTTTACACATAAAGAAGACTGATCTCTGGAGCTCAATAATTCATTTAGGAAGAGTTTTTTAATGGTAAGAAAACACTGAAAAATCAACTTCAGTAACTTAACACTATATATTCTAAAAAAGAAATACAACTGTCATTTCTAAATTGTCATTACATGGGGACCAGCAGGTGGTATGGTGGTTAAACCAACAGACTCCCACATGGCCAGCCACGATTCGAGTCCCAGACCTGGCAACTTGAAAATCACACAGGGCATGTGTGCATACCCAAAATCCCAAGAAGAGAATGGAGTAAGTATTGCGACATGGCCCTCCGCCCTGAGGGGTGATTTCTGACTTCTTCACTCTCTGTCGCTCTCTGATGAGCACACATGCCCTACAGCAAAAACCTAAAAAATGAAATAAAACACTTTACAGGGAAAAATAAAAAGTCAGAAATTAGTAGATATTAATGAGGTTGGATCTATTAAAATATTTTAAGATATAAAAACAAATATTTGTCAGCTTGCAGAGGAGATTTAAAAACTACAATCATAGTGATACATGTTTGAACATCATTCGTTTGGTTTGAATAACTGAGTATATTTTATATTATTTCTTCCTTTTTATTATTTTTTGAAATATAAAATAGTGAAGGCCTTTACCTAAAAGTGTGAACTCTGGGAAAATAAGAATTCTAATATACCATTATACAGGGCATGTTTAGGTTTTTCTTTCTTTTTTTGGGGGGGGAGAGGTTTTTGCGATAGGGCGCATGCGCTCCCCAGACAGAGTGAGACAGAGAGACAGAAAACGAGAAATAACCCCCCAGGGGGGATGGCCATGCCGCAATCCCTTCTCCATTCTCCTCTCGGGATCTTGGGCACGCACGCACACGCGCCCAGCATGAGTTTTAAGCCACTGGGTCCAGGACGCAAACCGCGGTCGACTACGTGGGAGTCCAGTGACATAGCCATTACGCTAACTGCTGGTCCCAAGGTTTTTGATGTCCCTGTTATGTAAGAGCATATGGCCCTATTGGAGCTATCATCAAGAGGGTTTTTTTATTTGCTACAGGGCACATGTGCTCACCAGACAGAGACAGAGAGAGAGAAAGTGAGAAAGCAAGCTGCCAGGTCCAGGACTCCAACCTCAGCTGGCCATGGGAGTCCAGCACATTAACCACCATGCCACCTGCTCAACCCCAAAGTTCACTGTTTTGTTAGAGTTTTTGTTTTTGTTTTTTTTGGGGTTTTTTTTTTTTTTTTTGCTATAGGGAGCATGCACCAGCTGGAGAGACAGAGAGACAGAAAGCGAGAAATTAACCCCCAGGTGGGAGTGGCTAAAACACCAACCCTTCTCTTGGGATTTTGGGCACATGTGCACAGGCTCCCAAAATGAGTTTCAAGTCTCCAGGTCCAGGACTCAAACCACAGTCAGCCATGTGGGAGTCCAGCAATGTAACCATTATGCCATCTGCTAGTCTCCAACCCCAGCCCCAGAATTAATTTTAAGAGTCTCTTTTCTAAAAAAATAATCTTGTATTGAAATTAGTTCCCTACTTAGCTTCAGAAGGGATCATTTCCTTATGAATAAACTATACCTATTTTCAAGTGCAGAGATACTGAAGAGCCCCAAAGGGGCCTGGTTTTGCAAAACAGTTATCAGAGTTTGAACATGCACCCCTAGTCTAGCACCTCCAGTTGGATTAAACAAGGTGCAAACAAAATGTTCATCCATTTCTGGTTCTGTGTCTAATATGGCAGATATGTGTAGGGCCTGAAAAATAAAAGCAAAAGATAACATTTACCAGACTGCAGTATTTCTGCAACACACATACAAAGAAATTAACCAAACATATTTGACAACAAAATAATCTATCTTATTCAATACTGACACACACAATGTGATGGTTACAACTATATCAAGTTACTACACTTGGGATTTTCAACACTATGATATAATGCATTAAAGTGTCTAAGAAGTAAGTATTGATGACATTTTAAAGATAACATGGATTTAAAAATTCAATTTATATGGGTTGGTTCCCAGGAGTAGTGGTAACATACTGCTCAAAGAAGTTGGATCCCACACGGCCACCACAGTTTGAGTCCCCAGCCCTATCACCCTGAAACATGCTGGGTACACACGTGCCCAGGATCTGACAGGCGGGAGGACTGCAGGAAGGGGACCATGGTGTGACCAGACCCTGCAGAAGATGCTTTTTTCTATCTGTGCTTTGCATGCAGATACGCCCTATTGTGAATAAGGAAGAAAAGTAAAAATAAGTGTGTGTTCATTTTTGCTAACTTTTTACCCTACCCTGGCTACATCGCTTCATTAGTTTCATTCTAGTCTAGGACTTCATTGCTAAAAAGCAGTTATAGTTATATCAGGCCCAAACTAGAACAGCCCACATGTTCATCAATAGCAGAATTGACAGTCTATTCAATAAAATGTTACTCAGCAATAAGAAAGAACCAACCAATAGGTGTGGAGTGGAAGAGGCAGACATAAAAGACTGTACATTGATGCTATTTTATAAGAAGCTCAAGAACCAGAGAAATGAGTTTTCAAGGCAATGAGGAGGCAGTTTCCTCTAGGAAGGGTGAGGAGCCAGAGGGAACCTCCCGGGGAAAGGGAATGTAAAACATCTTCATCTGGGCAGTTACATGTGTGTATACCTACCTTGAAAGTCATTAAGCCACACATTAAGATTTGTGTATGCCTGTTTATACCTCAAAATATTGGGTCGTCAGAAAAGTCAGGACATATGTCTTCTATTATTTTTCTATGTAAAAATGCATAGTGACTTTTTTGACAACACAATAAGAATGTGTGGAGCAAAAATTGTAATGTGGATTAAAAACAATTATTCGGTTCAACTTGCTACAACATTTAATTTGCCTGATGAATGGAAAGATCTTTAAATACACTCTTGAAAAAGCATCTTCTAAGAAAAAAGGCCCAATAAAAAGTAAGTGAAAACATACGAATAAGGAAAGAAGAAGTTAGGCACCAGACTGTGGCACTCTGCGAAGCTGACCCACATGGGAAGGTCCCAGGTGTGTGTCCTCCGCCCTCCCTGAGTACCCCAGGCATGTACGTGCCTATAGACAGACAAGGGTCTCAACATGCCATGGTTCTCCAGTCCCAGCCTCCCAGGATCAAAGGAGTGCTTCCGTGCCCAGCACGTACAGGTCCACCTGGGATCTGAACCGTAGCCTTCCCTATAACTCCAGCATCAGAGAGCAGAGCCCTACCACCTGTGCAACTGTGGTCAGGACACTTTGCATGATAATGGGGGTGGATCACGGTGTCAGGACCATCGGGAGTACTATAGTGCCCCCCCCTCTCTCTCACTCATGGAAGAAATAAATAAACTTTAAAAATAAAATAAAGAAAAAATGTATAAGGAGGGGACCAGCAGGTGGCATGGTGATTAAGGTGCTGGACACTTTCACATGGCCAACCATGGATCAAGTCCCAGACCTGGTGGCTTGTTTTCTCACTTTCTTTCTTTCTCTTTCTCTCTCTTTCTCTCTCTCTCTCTCTCTCTCTCTCTCTCTCTCTCTCTCTCTCTCTCTCTCTCTCTCTCTCTCTCTCTCTCTCTCTCTCTCTCTCTCTCTTTCTGGTTAAATTAAAATAAATGAATGAATAAATAAATAAAATGAAATAAGTGAGCCTTTTTAAAAAATATATAAGGAAAAACTGTGAATAAAATACTTGAAATTTAAACATTTGTATCTATTTCAAGATTTAATGTATCTTTGAACAAATCAATTGAAAGTTTTAAATTTTCAAAAATATTAAAAAACTTGGACATGAAAATATGTTTTCAAAATTTTTCTGAATGGGGCCAGCAGGTGGCATGGTGGTTAAGGCACTGTACTCCAACATGGCCTACTGAAGTCTGAGTCCCAGACCTGGCAGCTTGCTTTCTCACTTCCCCTCGCCCTCATCTCTCTCTGGTAAGCACATGTGCCCTATACCAAATTTTAAAATAACAACAATAAATAACATTAAATGAATCATTCTTTAAAGAACTGTGTTGAAGTTGGGCTGGACTTGGAGCTCAGCAGTTAGGGGAGCCAGATTCCACATGGCCTACCATAGTTTGAACAATTGCCCCATAGCTTGAAAAACATGCCAGGTGCATGTGCATGCCTATCCAAAATCCTGCCAGGAACAAAGAATGGAGGAAAATGATTGTGGTAGGACCATGCCCAATTAAGACATTCTCTCTCCCTCCCTCTCTCTTTCTCTCTCTCTCTCTCACTCACTCACACACACACACACATGTCCTCTGGCAATAAAAACATAAAAACTAATCTGCTGAAGCTCACACAAAGTGTCCTGTCCACAGTTGCACAGGTGGTAGGGCTCTGCTCTCTGATGCTGGAGCTACAGGGAAGGCTACGGTTCAGATCCCAGGTGGACCTGTACGTGCTGGGCACGGAAGCACTCCTTTGGTCCTGGGAGGCTGGGACTGGAGAACCATGGCATGTTGAGACCCTGCCAGGTATTGTCTGTCTGTCTCTCTGTTTCTCTCTCATGGAAAAATGAGTTAAAACTTTTTTTTTTTCTTAAAGCAGAAAAATTATCATCACAGCCATCACAGTACAAGGGGGAAGGTATTTCTGTAAGGTGGCTAAGGGTGCTTCGCAGGCCTGGGATCAGTTCCAACCCAACCTAAACAGGCTGGGTGCAGGGATGGGTGCCTGGGAGGCTATGTTTGACAGCCAAGGAGGGACGAGGATGAACATATGACAAGACCCCATCGAAGAGAACTACCTCTTTCTCTCCCCCTCCTGCACTCTTTCTCACATAAAGGAAGGAAAGATGGAAGGAAGGGGAAAATTATTTAAATATTGGATGGCTATTTTAAATGAAACAATTTTAAATATATTATTTTATAGTTGGCTTGAAGAATGTCTAAGCTAATACACTTAACTATTTCAAACTTAAATTGTGTCTTTAAAAATAAGATTAGTAGCCGGAACAGAGAAGATACAGAAAAAGAGGTTCTGAAAGCAACCCTCTGAGAGCATCGATCACATCCTACTTCATGTCAAAGCCAGCATTCTTCTCAAACATGCCCTTCCTGTTCTTAAAGCAGCAGCCAAACACTTGGTTAAAGTCTGGCAAATAGGAATGACTGGCTGGGGTTTACACATGGCAAAGAATGACTGACAGATTCTTTTAGTTTATGGTTTACTGAAAATAGAAAGAAAAGCATACCATGTAAATGTGATTAAAATTCAAAAGGACTATACAATTTTTTTTTATTTTTTGCACATCCTTTTACTTTCTATCCTATTACAGCAAACCTTTTTGTTAAATAATTATTTACTTAATTTTATTTATTATAATAATAATTATTATTCTTATTTTAATTAAACAGAGAGAGATAGAGGGAAAGTGAGAAAGCAAGCCTCCAGGTCCAGGACTCAAACCACAGTTGGCCATGTGGGAGTCAAGCACCTTAACCACTACACCATCTGCTGGCCCTTAACAGCAAATATTTCCAGCTGTCCTCTATATAAACTATATAACACTGTGTCATGGATCACATAACAATCTATAATATACCTCTCACCTAAATTGAGAGTATTTTTTCTCTTTCTAAAATCTAAGGTGCACCTCTGGAGAAAATTAATTCATAGTAAAGAAAATCTTCCATTGTCATTAAAGTTTCATACTGTACCTTGAATCGAACACCTTCTTCAAAAACAATATAACCCCTGGAGGGTGTCAGATCTTTGGCCTCTGCTGAAGAATTCACTTCTGTCACCACAAACTGAACTGTCACAGTCCCAAACAGTCCTTGTGCAGGCTCCCGAATGACATGTAGTACTGCGACACTCTCCTGTATGTGCAGAGCGCTGGGTTCTCTCAGGAAAAAGTGCTCACTGTTATTGAAAGATAGAACTCCAGGGCCATCATCATTCGCCAGGACAGTAATTAAGGCTGTCAAAATAAAAATATTAAAGCAATAAATGAAAATAGAATGGGTTATAAGCACTGGAAAGTGTGGATGTTTAATTGGACTAGGTGAACTCTTTTCCTAAGTTGATCATTTCTCTTAGAAACAAACATTTTAAAAGCATTTAGCAAGAGTGTCCATTTACTTATGATATGAAAACACTCAGTAATCTTGGAAGACAAGGCAGCGTCCTCAACCTGATGAGGCAGCATCTCTGAAGGTAGATTTCCACCAAAACCAGAACCCAGACAATGATGCTGCCACTGGAACTATGAATCACCCACGTGCTCGGGCTGCCAGTCAGGTGACACAATCAGTAATGGAAAGAAAGTCAAAACGGTCGTTATTTTCTATGTAACATGATTGTTTACTAAGAAAATGCAAGAAAAGAATCATTAGAAGTAGGCAAGAGTTCAAAACCTAAGCTAAGCAACTTTCAAAACTCAATAGACTTTGCTGCTGCTGCTACTACTACTACTACTACTACTAGTAGTAATCACAACTGCAACAGCTAATACCACTAAGAATTGACTAATTGCTTAGTCTGTATTAACTCCATCTGTTCCCACAATACCCTACGCGGCTGACTCTATTGTCACCCCCTCTTACAGCACCTATGACTGAAGCACAGACAAGGAATGTGACGTCTAAAAGCCGGAAGTGCAGCAGGGTATACAAAGCCAGGAAGTTTGCTCCAGAACAGACGCTCTTAAAGACGGCCGGAATAGCTCCACACATCAGTTATCTCTTCTGCAACAGAAAAGGAACCTCATTCTCAAGGCTCAATACGTAGAAATGAACAGGGAGCCAGGAGGTAGTGTGGTGGTTAAGGCACTAGACTCCCACATGGCCAACTGCGGTTCAAGTCCCAAGACTTGACAGTTTGCTTTCCCATCTTCCCTCGCTCTCTCTCTGTCTGTCTCTCTCTGTCTCTGTCTCTCTCTGGTGAGTGCATGTGCCCAGAAGAAAATTTAAAAATAATTAATTTAATTAAATAAATAATTCTTTAAAGAAAAAAATAATTATAAGACCTGTGTGAAGAAAATCACTGCCATGTGACTGTAGTACTTGCTGTCGGTGCCCCACCCCGGCCTACTCTTGGGTCACCTGCAGTAGTTCCTAACTGCCCTGAGATCTACCTGAGGACAGAATCAGCCCAAGAAGGAATCAGGCCAGAACTGCCAGAGAGTTAACACCCAAGAACATCATTATAATATTGAGTTTTCCATTTAGAAATATGATGTGCCTCTCCATAATTTAGATTTATCTTACATTCTTGCCTTAGAGTTTTTGCTCCCTCCAAAGCAAATCGTGACACAAGGATTTGGATTGAAGTGGTTCATTTAAGAGGTGACCTCTGCAAGGAGACAAGAAAGAGTAGTGAGACAGGGAAAGCCAACAGAAGACGTGCTAATATGAACTTACTGCTGTGGGCAATTGAGCTTAACCCTCTGGGGTCCTTAAACACTGCTGAACTAAGCTCCGGCTCCTCCCTGAGAAGGAAGGAGGTTGAGCTACTCATCCTGCCACTCCTAGAGCTAACTGTCCAGGAAAAAGATTAACAGAAGACAAAAGGAAGGAAAGATGAAAGGGGAAGAGGGAGAAAATGAGGGAGGAAGAAAGGGGGGGGGAGACTAGAGAAATACTAGGTAGAAAAAGTAAATTTTACATGAAAACCAATGTCTAGGGCAAGCCCCCTATAGCAGTGGTTAAGAAGAGAGTTGAATTCCATGGTTGGCCATGGTTTTAATCCTGGCCCCAACAGCTTGAAAAACACACCACGCACGTGTATGTGCACAGCCCAAATTATGACAGGGTGGAGAAATGGAGGAGACTGCAACATGCACACCACGTTGGGGGATGGGGTGCTTGCTCCTCTCTTCTCTCTCTCTCTCTCTGGTAAGCATACATCCCTCTGATAATTTAAAAAAAAAAAATCAAATCAAGAGGCCACCAAGTGGCATGGTGAAGTGCTGGACTCCCACATGGTAGGCTGCAGTTCGAGACCTGGACCCTGCGACTTCAAACTCACGCCGGTCATGTGTGCATGAATGCCCAAAATCCAGAGAGGAAAATGAAAGAGAAGAGACTTCTGTGTAGCCATCTCCCATGGGGGGGAGGGTGGTTTCTCACTTTCTCTCTCTCTGTTTCTTTCTGTCTCTACAGCAAGTGATTGTGCCTTACAGCAAACATCTCTCTTTAAAAAAACAAAAATTAAAAACTAAAGAAACAGCTGCTGAGAATGCTGAGAAACAATAATTTTAAATAAACATTCTACAGTGTAGGCAATATGGAAGGTAGTCGATATGATGTCCTGTCCACTATTGTACTCAACACATAATCTTTTTTTTTAAGAATTATTTTATTTAACTTTATTTATGTACTTATTTTAATTTGGCCAGAGAGGGACAAAGTGAGAGTGAGTGAAAGAGAGAGAGAGAGCGTGCGTGTGACAAAGAGAAAGAGAGAAAGCAAGCCACCAGGTCCAGGACTCAAACCATGGTCAGCCATGTGGGAGTCCAGTGCCTTAACCACCACACAACCTGCCGGCCCCTCAACACATACATCTTAGTTGCCCACATATACAAAGACTTATATACAAGGATATTTACTAAAACTTTATGAAGTTTGAAAATAGTCTAAAAGTCAACTAAAGGGGTATGATTTAAAAAATTATCTACTATCAAAACATTTATGGGCCAGTCCTGTAGCTTAGTGGTTCAGAGTCAGATCCCACATGGCAGACTATAGGTCAAATCCCAACCCTCGTGGCTTAAAAAACATGAGGAGTGTCAAAATCTCAATGGGAAGAAGAAATGGAGAAGAGAGTTCAGCATGAGTACACCCCATTGTGCGGGTGCTTTCTCCCTTTCTGTCTCTGGAGAGCACACACACTCACAAGCAGTTAAAAAAAAAAAAAAACTTAACTGCCCTAAGAAATTTTTATTTTTATTTTATTTTATACTTTTTCCCCCCATATGGCTGGGACATGGCTCACTGGAGAGACAGAGAGAACCAGAGAGAAAAGGAAAGTGAGAAACCAGCCCCCAGGCAAGATGGCCATGCCGCGGTCCCTTCTCCTCTCAGGATTTTGGGCATGTACACACACATGCTAGGCATGTTTTTCAGGCTGCTGGGTTCATGGAGTGGGCCATTTGCAATCTACTGCCTTAACCACACCATCACCTGCTGGCCCCTGAGAAATTTTTTAAATATTTAAAAATAGAAAATTACAGGGCCAGTGGATGGCATGGTGGTAAAGGCTCTGGACTTCCACATGGCTAACTGCAGTTCAGGTCCTGGATCAGACTCACACCTAGCGCGTGTGTCTGCATGCCCAAAATTCCAAAAGGAGAAAAGAGAAGGGATAGCAGTATGACCATTCCCCCCCCCCAGTATCTATCTCTTTTTTGTCTTTCATGCGAGAGCATGTGTCCTATGGCAAAAACATTAAAGAATAAAATGAAATAAACAAAAAATTAAAAATTACATGCACAAAGTAAACTTGATGGATCCAAATAGTATAATACATTCCTTCTCCTACTCACGCTGGTGGGCACATTACCTATGTAATTACTATCAGAATTATAGAGGACTTCCTAGGAATGTTTGAATTTGCATACTCTCTTCCTCCCTCTTATGTGGAATACAGAAGAATGAGGCAGATCTTCTGCGACAATGAGTAACATCAGCCTTGCAATGCAACCAATATTATAAGAGGCAAGTAACAGAGAAAGGAAAGAGCCTGAAGTCCTGGTCCTACCTCACCTAAAGCCTTCCATCTCTGAACCCTCAGATTAAATGGACTGATAAATGACCTTTCTTTAAATCTGTTTGAATCGGTTTTTCAAAGTAGGTTCGTTTAAAATTTTGAAAGTTGTTTCTTAACTGTCAAGAACTATGGAGTATGAGCAAAACAAATTTTGATATATGAAGTAAATGTAGGAAAATGTAAAAATAAATAAATGGAAAAGAAGTAGGTTCGTTTTTACATAGACGATCCTTAACCAACACAAGTCCGTTCCTCCACCCCTTCACACACAACACACTTTGCTCTACAAGGAAAGTGTTCCTCTCAAATGTACTATTTGGATTTAAACCAACAGCCACAGCATCAAAAAAAAAACCTTCTGAGAATTTAGAAATTCAATTTATTTTTTTCAATACAGCAATAAAAGTAAAAACCAATCCTCAGGTTACTCAAAATATAAGTATTTCACTTCAAATCAGATGTTTTTCATATAAAGTCTAATAATTTAGGAATGAAATAGTTGATTGAGTTGGAAATTGCAAAGAACTCTCAATGACGAGCTAAACTGGCAGTGGAGAAATCAGTCACCTCAACCCACTTGGCTTTATTGTCAGAAGGAAGCACGCCAAGTTTTTTAGGACCCTTCCAACCCTAACTTCCTGTAGGTTCATGAGGCTTTCTCCTTTGTCCCTTGTTAACCTTCTCTAAGCAGTCAGCCAGTGCCTAATAAACAGTGAAACAGGATGACATTTAGGGATAATGTGAAACTGTTCCAACTACAGAATTACAGGGCCAGGCTCTGGTGCAGAGGTAAAACTGGTGCAGAGGTAAAACTGGTGCAGAGGTAAAACGTGATGTTCTGTGAGCCTGACCTGCTAAGAAAGGTTCCTGTTGACATCCGGAGACTGCCCTGAGTACACCAGGCAGGATTCAAGGCTGGCTGAGGTAGGAGGGGGCAGGAATTGCAGTATCAAGACCCTGTTATGGAGGTAATGTCTCTCTGTCTCCCTCTCTCTCTCTCTCATGAAGAAATAAACAAACCTGAAAAAAAATAATGACTCCTATAATCTGTCTGCAGTATCAATGTATTTCAATCCCATGTAGAAATACCATGGCAATTGGGACCAGTAGATGGCATAATGGTTACGTTGCTGGACTCCCACGTGGTTGACCACAGTTTGAGTCCCAGACCTGGAGGCTTGAAACTCACGCCAGGCACTCATGTGCGTGTGTGCCCAAAATTCCAAGAGGAGACAGAAATACAGCGTGGCTATTCTGCCCTGGGGTGGGAGTGGGGGTGATTTCTTGCTTTCTATCTCTCTGTCTCTTTTTGTCTCTCTGGCAAGCACTTGTGCCCTATAGCCAAAATTTCTCTTAAAAAAAAAAAAAAAAAAAAAAAAAAATTAAATGACAATAAAAGAGCTACCTTTATCACTCCTACTACTAAGCAAGACACCAGAGCAGAACTCAAATCCCAAAGAAAAGACACCTACATACTGGCTAAAGCACTGGTCTCCCACATGGCCCACCAAAGTTTGAGCTCCGTTCCTGGAGGCTTAAAAATCACATTAAGTGTATGTGCCTGTGTGCCCGACATCCTGAGAGTACAGCATGGTCATCTAGTGGGGACGATTTCCCACTTTCCCTCTCGCTCTCTCTCCCAGGCAAGCACATGTGCACAAGGGCCAAAACCCTAAAAATAAATAAAGAAACAAATAAATAAAATAAAATCTATACTATCTAAGGAAATTATAATATTATCTTTTAATACCTTTCTCTCTATATAGATAGATAGATAGAATTTTTTTTTTTTTTTTTTTTGCACAGACACACTAATGCAAAACACACCGGCGAGAAGCACTATTATTCTGACAAGCAATTTTGAAATGCTTAACTTAAAATATTGTTCATTATAAGCACAGAACACCAGCAACACTCTAATCCTTTGATCTCTGCCCCATACAAGGGAAACCAGCATAAGGGGAAGGGAGCTGCGTATTACCTATTGTATTTTCTCCCAACTCTAGTCCAGGAGAAGGATTTGTTAAAATCAGCTGAAATTTTTCATCTCCTTCTGGAAAGTCATCATCAAGAATGAGAATGTCAACATCTTTATACCTTTGTCCATCAGCAAAATGAAGAATCTGGTCCAAAAGGTAAAAGTAAACAATATTATATTTAAATGCACTCTGAGTTTTTATAGTGTTCGGAAAAATATACAATGTAGTTCTTATTTTTTCTAAACATTTGTTTATTTATGTATTTATTTGTTGTGATTTTCAAGCCACCAGGTTTGAGACTACAACCCACAGTTGGCTATTTTGAAATCCAATGGGAATCCAGTGCCTTAACCACCATGCCACCTGCTGGCATAAGAAATATTCTGGGGAGGTCATATAATGTCATCAATTCTTCCACACAACTGCTAGTGTTCTCCAGTGTCAATTATTGCAATAAAAGTGTTAGTGATGCAGAATAATCTTTAGGACAGTACTGATAATTCAATTTAAATTATTTATTACAATAGTGATGGGCTATGCCACCATGTGGACATCTTCTGTCCTAATTTACTGTGGAACATACAATAGTTTGTTAAGATTAACTTATTTATACAGGATCTAAATTGCTATAATTCTTAAGAAATAACGGTTATAAGTGATTTGAAGGGACCAGCAGGTAACGTGGTGGTTAAAATGTTGAATTCCCATGTAACTGACAATGGTTTGAATCCCAAACTTGATGGCTTGAAAAATCATGCCAGGCGTGTATACGTGCATGTCCACCAACCCCCCCAGAGGGGAATTTCTCATTTTCCCTCTCTGTCTCTCTCTGTCTTTTCCTGTGATTGCCTCTGACAGATCTTGAGACCCACCATGGGGGTGAAGAGGTAATCCAGCCCCAGCTGTGCTTCCAAATTCTGGGCATACACAAACAGGGAAACGTGGCCTAGAGCCTCTCTGCTCCTCTGGGCTAGCAACGTTAAACGTCCATGAGTTTCATTTACAGCAAACCTATAAAAAGTAAAAAGCAAGTGTTCATCTTTCCCTTACATGCATTTATTTGGAAGACAATAAAGAACGTGACACTCAGGAAAGGGCTCCCAGGCAGCCTTGGGCTCACCTGCTCTGCTGCCATTCAATCACCCCACGGGCACCATCATTGGCATCGATCGTGATTTGTGCAGTCAAGCCTTCTGAATCTGAAAATACACAGGCATGTACATTAAATAAATATAAATGATTAAACCCCCGTGCTTGATAGGAAACATAAAGACAGTCCCTTTGTGATTATATCATTCGTGATAGCTAGGTATTGTTGACACTACTCAAAAGATGTTTAGGACAATATGGGTACGAATGATTGTACCACTAGCGCCTTTTGCTAACAACAGCCACTGACCGAGAGAAGTTTAATCAATTGAGAAAGGATGAAATAATAAACAATCAAGGTTATGGGTTTGTTTATATTATTTTAATCAAAAGATACTTGACACCTCTGGTCTACAATATTACCAGTGCAAGAGGAAAGGAAAATGGGGATTGTTGGAAGGAGCAGAAAGAGCAAGAAAAGAGGGAAAAGAAATGGGAAGGAAAAGGTGGGGAGTGTGGCAGAGAAAAAATTCACGTGTGCAAAATGGACACAATAGAGAGACAGAGATACAAACCGACAGGTGAGGGAGACAGGTTGAGACAGGTGAGGGAGACGGGGACAAGGTTTGATGAAATAGAAAGGGACTAATACTGAAGTAAATGTCTCTTATCCCTTTTTATTTGGTAATCTGTCCACCAAGTTCACTATTTCCAGTATCTACTATTTAGTCTTGAAATAGTAACTAGTCCTGTTATTGTTTTGTTTTGTTTTGTTTTTCAAACTCTGTCCTTTAGCTTTGAGATTCCAGAGGTGCTACCTAAACTAAGATACTTTGGACAGCTGCCTGCGTGGGCTGGGGCGGGGGGAGAATAAAAATGTCTCTAGAGTGAAGACAGCCACATGGTCCAGGAAAGCACACAGAATCAGGATTTGTGCCCACTGGTCTGCAGCCTAAAGAGCAGCGACTCTCAACTCAGCCACAGCTTTGAAGACCAGCTCTTCTGTTTCCGAGCTGTGTGAGCTTAGGCATGTTACTTAGCTTCCTTAGCCTCAGCTCTCCCATCTGTGGAACAGGAAGATGTCAGTAAAGACAGCATATCATGTTATACGTAGCTTTGAAACAGGGACCTTGGAAAGCACTCAACAGACAACTATTCAAATGACCTCTAATGTGAGTAGGAAAGAAACATAAAATATTTTGTTAGTTTTCTAGGTATAAACAATAATTCCTTTGTAATAAGACTTGTTATAAACAACCTAGTCATTGGAATTATCTCTGTTTTGTGCAAAAGATTTGAAAGTTTCCAGGTAGTATGTTAAATACTGATGATTTCCATGAGCCTCAGAAGTGAATGAGGAAGGCCTGTTCTGCAGGCCAAGGCTCTGGGCCATGCCCATCCTCCTTTCACTGAAAGGAATACTCCTTAATCCCAGCACACCTTCCAAGGTAAGAATGGAGCAGGCTACCTAAGTGCTACTCACTACCACCCCCTAGGGGACCACCATCCCCACAGGCTTCAAACAAAATATCCCAACAGTAAATGTTCATACCACAAACAGGAGTTTGTGTTTAAACATAGCAGTACATCTTTTTAACAGAATCTATAGAGATTTGTACCAAGATTCAAGTTTTACCTTTTAGTCTGTAATGAATTAACTGAGTCTTTTCTAAAAGCATGGAAAGAAAGAGATCAAAGGTCATATAAAAAGCAGAGGATAACAAATGAACACACAAACAAGAGCTTTGCTTAAAGGAAAATAAAATCATTTGATAGTGAAGAGTGAAGTTCTAATAAACAGCTAATTAAATTTGAAAAGAAAAGAAAAGAAAAATGCCTTCTACGGAACTAATTATATTTCGAGGATTACAAAATAGTTATAAAACTTAAAGAGCAACACACGACAATTCTTAATATCTTTGCACTATCCAGTGAACAAAACTGCATTATATGATAATCTTTAACTCAAAAAAATAAAAATCTGAATGCCCAAATGTTCACACGTAGCCAAGATCAACAGACATAATTATCCCTTCTAATAAAAAGTAAAGTTCCTTTACTTCATTTAAAGTGAGTAAAAAGACCCAAAGAAACAAACAAAAATACCCATCATACCTAGTCTGGGAGGAAACGAAGTTAAAGGAGCCATGATAAGGGCAACGTAAGTTAAATTCACCAGGAAATATTCTTCTAGCTCTGGCACATCATCCTGCAAAGTTAGACCCATTAAATTCCTGTAATTATGTGTGTAACTAATCACCCCTTATCAGCTGCTTTTAAAATTATCTTATAATAAATGTATAAATTATGTATGAAACATAAAAATGTAAACATACAGTAGAAAATATTTAATTTAGGAAAAAATAAACATGAAAGGGTAAACTTATATGTGATTATACGGGAAGTTATTAGGTTAAACTATATGATCAATTAAATATTGCAACATTGTTTACCTAGACTTACATAACATGTAAGCCAATTATATGAATATACAAATCAAATTATTTAAATACAACACAAACAAAAGATTTTAAATATCCAATGTTTAGAATCAAGAATGGAATGACATTATATTAAAAAAATATATATATATATACAGGCTCTGCAGCCAAGACATAAAACAAATCCTGTAGTGTTATTATTTAAATTTTAAGACTTCAACTGCATCATCCATTTAACATAGGAAATAACAGCCACTTATTAGAGATTATAATATCATTATAATCAGCAGATGGCGTAGTGGTTAGGATACTGGACTCCAGCATGGTTGATCATGGTCCTAGTCCCAGATCTGGTGGCTTGAAAATCACAACAGGCATGTGTGTGCACATGCCCAAAATCTCGAGAGGAGAATGAAAGAGAAGGGATTATAACATGGCTATCCCCTGGGGGTGTACCTTCTCACTTTCCCTATCACTGTCTGTCTGTCTGTCTCTCTCTCTCTGGCAAGCACACATGCCCTATGGCAAAACATTGCGGGGGAGAGTTTAAAATAGCCACTATCCAAAAAGTGACATGAAGTAATTAAAAAAAAAAAAAAGTGTGTACGGAACTAGTTAATGACTTGGTGGTTAAAGAGCTGGATTCCCATGGCCAAGTCTCAGACTTGACTTGAAAATCATGCCGGACCCATGTGCATGCAAGCCTAAAAACAAAAGAGAAGAAGAAGGGACTGCAGCGTGGCCATGAGGGATTTCACACTTTTCCTTTCTCTGTTTCTCCCAGGCAGGCACATGCACCTTATGACAAAAACCTAAAATAATAATAATTAAAACAATGTGTGTGGAGTTCCTGGCTTAGAGAGAATGCTTTAAAAATTGCACTTAGTGGCCGGCAGGTGGCGTGGTGATTAAGGCACTGGCCTCATTCATGGCTGACCGCAGTTCAAGTCCTGGACCTGTAGCTTGCTTTTACTTCGGGTTTAATACAAGAATACAGAAACAACCTAATAGTTTTACCTCAAGTATAGTGACGTTGATGGCTGCTGCTGTCTCCCCTTCTTCTAAAATCAGAAAGCCAACTAGTGGGACAAAATCAACTTCCGGCTCTGCTAGGTTTCCTTCTGTGTGGTTCTTCAGACTCAACACTCCTGGAACCGTGGCATATGAGACATTGATAGCTCCTAGTTGAATTGGTTTCAAAAAAAGACTTTATTATTACTTGATCTATGTTTCCTTGTGAAAATTTTGCCTTAACTAAAAGCATTTGATACAGCTTGCAGGACTGGTCCCAATTCCTCCCCCCCTCCTAAATCCGTGATCTGTATCACAGAACAGTTCAGCTGCAGCCCCTGGTGGGCAAGGCACCCTTCCCTTCCCCGAGGCTTAGAGTTGGGCTGTGCGACCTGTTTAGGCCAACAGAGCAAGGAGGAGGTGTGATGTGCTCATTCTACACCTGGACCTCCAGACGCCATGCACGTTTCTGCTTGCTCTCGTCTGCCTCGATGTGTCCCAGGAGAAGACCGAGACAGAAGGAGCACCCTGGAGTGGTGGCGCCGCAGCCAGCCAGTGCTGCATGCTGCTGGGAGTTTAAGATTGTTCCACAGCGTTCTGCGAAAACGGATCATTCCTTTCATCTTTCTAATAATAAAAATAGTGAAATGAAGAAGTCTTATCCTACATCGATGAAACTGTCTTCCTCTCCCTGATTTATTGCAGCAACGGCTTTCATCCACACCAGCAGAATATTCAAAAGCACTTGCCTGGAAACCCCATTCAGTCTAGAGTAACACAAACCTAGAGATCCAAATTCTCTGTTGATGAAGAGCTGAACCATTGTGTTAGCCTCTTGGACTAAAACAAATCTTGATGAAAGAGCAAAGTTTAAGACTCCATGTGGCTCATCACTGGCTTCTACCGTCAGGA